AAATTTATGAGATTTGTTTTATGGCACAGAATATAGTCTATCTTGGTGAATGTTCCAAGGGCATTTTGGGGAAGAAAGTGTAATTTGCTGCTGTTGAGTGGAGTGTTTTGTATATATCAGTTCGATTCTTTGGCTCATTGAGTTGTTTGCTTCTATACCTGTGCTGATTTCTGTCTAGTGGGTCTGTCAACTGCTGAGAGGAAGATGTTGAAGTCCCCACTCTAACGGTGAACTTACCTACTTCTCCTTTCAGTGCTGTTGTTTTTTAACAGCTTTATTGAGATAACTTACATGACAATTTACCCATTTAAAGTATACAATTCATTAGTTTTTACTATATTCACAGATAGGTGCAACCAGCATCACAAGTCTAGAACATGTTTCTCGCCCTAAAAGAAACCTTGGACTCTTCAGCTATTGCTTCTCTGTTCCCCCACACCCAGCCCAAGCAACTGCTTATTTACTTTCCATAGAATTTGGTAGATTTCTTTGTCCCCATTCTTTGGATAGGGAGAACAGGCTTTTCTTGGCTTTTTTTTTTTCTTGGTCTCTGCTTGTTGGTGGTTCGGGTTGTAAGTGTCTATAGCATCCTATCTGAATATATGGGAGATAATAAGGGAACCTAGGGCATTCGCCATTACTGTGCTGCTTCTCACATCCCATGGTCCTAGGCTGTCTACCTTCATTCTATCTTTCAGAATCTTCCAGTGCTTGTTTATTGTGTTCTGACCATGGTGTTTTAGTTGTAAGAGAAAAGATCTTGGAGGACTGGGGCTACTCCATCTTGGGAGAACCAGTAGTTCCCACCAAAATGTATTTTGCTCCCAGAATCCAAGTGTGGATCTGTTTCTTCATAGTGGGCAGTTCTGGATGCAATTCTTCTTTCTCATTTGAAGCTTTACCAATGCAGCAGATGCCTGAACTTTTGCAAGCTTTCTCTTTCACCTCTAGTAGGCATGTGTTGTAATAAGTATTAAGTGCGCTTGCTACTTCCAGTTTGTATTCCCCTCACCAAGACATATCTTAATGTCTTAGTGAAGGGACTGTCTTCCTGACCCTCCCAGAGGTTTCCAGGAGGTGACTGAGCAAGTTACGCCACACTGGATCCATTTCAACATTTCGCTAAGCCTTTGATCTCCTCCCTCTAGACTGTGCAGTAGGAATTCCAGCATCTCTGTTTCCTTGACTGTAAGCCTCTACTGAGTTCAGACTTCTATTAACCATTGCAGGTACTTGAGCTAACACATTGAATCCTAAGGTCTCTGTGAAGCACCCTTCTCGGCTTAATCCAATCTTAGAATTATTCTTACTGAATAATTCTAATCCATTACTTAGAATCCATTTCCGTGCTTGCTTTCCAGATTCCTGCTAATAAAACTTGGCAAGATTCTACAGCTCCTTCATGTACATAATCTCTCCCAGGAGCAGGCCTTGCAATTAACTCTCTGAATCATGCTGAGATTTTACTCTCTCTGTAGGCCTAGAGGCAGTAAGCATTGTTGGTATGGGTCCTGATAAGGAGTAGTCATTTCTTTTTTCATATAACCACCCCCAGATGAAGCCAGTGATATATTTTTATTCAAACAAACGCTTGTTTTCTTCAAAGGTAAGAAGGATTGATTCTGATGTGAGGAAACGTTTAGAGATATTAGAAGCTCTGGGTTGTTAGATTTGTGTCTGGACAAACAAAGGTTTCCATCTCAAGTCTCCACCCCTTCCCAACCATCTTCTTTGCCTTAGCGTAAGAGACTGAGCATAAACACACCTTTAGCTGACGTGATTCTGCAGCCTGTACATTCAAGCCTCAGGCATGTTCCTCCCACAGCTTCATAAAATAAGAATTCCTTTAAGGCCACCGTAGAACTTTCTGATTCTCTCTCTACCTATGCCTTGAGGTGAGAGTTTTTTTTTTTCGAGGGGTTTGGGATTTGGGGGAGTATCTTCAGCAGTCAAAAGAAGCCATCACCCTCCCAATCTTTGAATTCAACATGATGCCACAGCTATCAAATGCCAGAGCCACGCTATCTCCCAGTGCCTTACCCTCACTGGCAATCTCAGTGATGCTTCGAGTAATCGTGATGCCGTAGCTGACTAAAGATTAGCAGTGTCCCATTTTCCCCTAGAAAGGAGACCATTCATGCATTTACCAACCCAATCCCAGAATCCCACTTTAATGGACTGTTTCTTTAGACCACTTCCTTTAACATATACTAAATCAGTCAGGGTACTGGCTGGAAAACACACATAAGCTGGGATTTTGAAGTGAAATTAAAAGAGAGGGATGATTTACAGAAGTACAGGCAGGGTTCAGAGCACCCACAAGGGTGATGAAGTACCTGAGAACTTACAGCAGTAGGAAGCTTTACCATTCTTAATCTTTAGGCATGAAGGACAAAGGGAGATCTGGAGGCTGTTGAGAACTAGAGCCATCAGAGAGGACCTGCTTAATAGGAGTTCTGGTCAGAGGGGTAGAGATGGGCTGGGGTAGAAATAGTCAACCTTTCCATAAAAGCAATGAGAAAACTGGCCAAAAAAAAATTGGTGAGAATAGAATTTTTCAGAACTCTGGAAATTAACAAAAGGCTTACAGTAACCCAGAGCGCCTTTATTCAAGAAAAGTGGCTGAATCTCAGTAAGAATAGAGAGCTTTGTGATATTTTAATTACAGTCCCATCTTCTAGTCTTAACCTTGAAAACCAAGACTCTGCAATCACAGTAAAAACCAGCAGCCCAGCAGCAACTGGAAAAGGGTAGAGGGGAGATGGAGTGTCTTCAAAGGCCCATTGCCAGAGCACCGTCACTGTTTGGTGATTCCTTGAAAAACCCCACCTGCAGTCTGTCTTTAGTTGACTTCAGTTAGACCTTACCAGTGCAAAAAGCCTCTTCTCTGAGGGTATCAAAATATTGAGAGTCAACAGTTTTGCTCATGTGTAACTGAAAGCAAACAACCCCCCCAAAAAATCTAATAACTGAAATTGTGTTTTATTCTACTAAACTATAAATATTGCCATTAAGTTAAACAATGTTAAAAGGAATCTTGGACTTTTTAATGATGGCCACTCTGACTGGTCTGAGGTGATAATCTCATTGTAGTTGTGATTTGCATTTCTCTGATAATTAGCGATGTTGAGCATCTTTCTATGTGCCTGTTGACCATCTGTATGTTTTCATTGGACAAATGTCTGTTTAGGTCTTCTGCCCATTTTTTGAATGGGTTACTTGTTGTTTGTTGTTGGTGGTGGTGGTGAGTTGTATGAACTGTTTGTATAGTCTGGGAAAAAAGTTGTCAAAACAATTACAGGCAATTGGTTAACTTCACAGATGCCTGAGGCAGTGGATAACTGCTGGACAAACAGTAGTCTAACCATAAAGCTAAAGAGGAAAATTGGGGGAATGAGGTCTCCACTGGGGCTTGGAAAGCGCTAACATACTCCTGGGAGTATGTAAGGCTGTGTGCATGCATAAGGATGTGAGCATGCTCAGCAGAAACCCAAGAAGGCCCTGAGCTCCCACCTCTGGTTGATATGGAGACTCTGGGTGAGCAGGACGTGAAGGCTAAGGCAGAGCTGTCCACTGTCTGGTTGCGTGTTGAAAAGTGTTACCGAAGCCAAGTGAGAACTGGAGCCAGGCAGGAGGGTCCATCCAGTGAAGCTTTATCCTCACATCAGCCAAACAGCTGGAACCAGTTGGAAAGGGAATCCAAGATTAGTCCAAAAATCTAAGACAAGAGAACCTGTAGAAGCAGGTCTAGCTCTCACCTTGAGGGTTTTTATTATCCAAGATGGAATAATGACGAAGTTTCTTTTGGAGGATTTGGTGCCCAGGGGAAATAACACCAAAGAGAAATAAATTGATCAAATGGTTGCTGGAGACTTGGCAGGGAGTTGGGGCTGGGGCGTGGGGCTACAAGTAGAATTTGTGGGGATACGAGAAATGTTTTATAACTTGACTGTGGTATTAGTTAAATAATAGTATATATCTCAAAGCCCATTCAACTGTACACTTAAAATGGGTGAATTTTATTGTATGCTTGTATGTAACTATACCTCAACTAACTAGACTTTGAAAAAAAGAAAAGAAGAAATCTGCTCAATTCTGCTGTGAACCAAAAACTGCCCTAAAAGAAAAAAGTCTATTAAAAAAAAAAAAAAGAAGAAGAAAAGAAATATTCAACTTTTCTCTCTTCCTGCCCTTCAGCTTCCCTGCTATGCCTCCCGCTGGCCTAATTCTGCCAGAAACCAGCAGTCAGGCAGTTTTGGTGGTAGGGTCTGTCGAGGTCACCTCCTTGGACTACAGAGAAAGGCAAAAACTGGGGTGAGGAAAATAGAAGACAGTCGGCCCAGGGGCGTCCCATGAAAATGCCAGTGGATTGTTCTCTCCTTACCAAAGGATAGCACTTCTGGTAGGAAAACAAGGCGTCTAACAGCGGGAGCCGCCCAGGGTGCGTCAGAGGGCTCATGACTCACTGCAGGAAGGTGCCGAACAGGAGTTTAAGATGGAATTTCTCTGCTTTGTGGGAAAAGACCCTTAAACCCCACTATTCAGATTCTGAAATTACCTCTATAAGCAATCTGTGGGAATACATTTGTAGGATACATTCCTTAAAATTATGTTGTTTAAGTTCTTTGGTATATGTAAGTTTTCTAGCTAAATTGGTGACATTTTCTGTTAGATGATTTTTATAATGTATTTCAAAGTCTTTCATTGCACTGTTGGTTCTACTAAGCACAGTTCAAACCATAAGATGCAAAAAGCTTATTTTTCCTTCACTGCTAACACAGGGATGTTACGTCATCTGAAAACATCTAGTAAAGTAAGCATGCACATGCCTCACTGATTCCAGTGCTCAATTTTAAAAGGAATTTACATTTCTGTTGTGCACTTCATTGACCGTTCCTCATCTCATATTTTAACAAAGAAAAAGACTGTCTCTGATGGAAAGAATCCTGAGACTTTAACTTGAACTCACAGTGTCCTTGTCTCCCTTTTTCCCCTTCCAGGAGGACGACTGTGAGTTTTGTGGCTTACTGCTGCTCCACCCAGTGTCTGCAGACTTTTGACCTACTGAGCTGATAAACACTCAAGAGCCTCAGGAGTGTGGCCAGCTTGACAGCAGTCACCTGCACATTGCACACCATTTGTGCAGCAGAGAGAGGGGACAGTCCAGCCAGGCCCAACTGGCCCCTCCCTACAGCCTGTCCTGTCAGACTCGGGGACTGCAGAGCTCTGGAAATGTCCTGACAGAGCTTCACAGCTGAAATGCCTTCACCCTCCCCCCAAGTTGGAATATATCCTTCCCCAAACTGAAGACCGTCTGTCTTCTGTGTTTTTCTTTTTATGTGAGTGTGTCTCATACGCAGGGTATTTACGCGGATTTATACACGCGGACTGATGCGCGTCCCCAAGTCTAATTTAGAGCAGGTTTCAGTTCCCTGAAGAACTATAATTTGGTGATACAACCAAATTAACTTTTGAACACACGAACCTTCAATGATACTTGTAACCTTCTCCTTTCTCTTTCTTTCCCCGGAGAATTATTTCCCTCAGAGGTTTTCCTCCATGTTTTTAACGAATTTCAGCAAACCCTGTGGGCTCAATAGTATTGAGCAGCATTGTGTGTGTTGGGGTTGGGGTTGGGTTTGGGGGCCTTGGGGGGTGGTACCTGAGTTGGCAGCCAAGTTAGACTCCAGTAGAGGCGTCAGAGGGGTCCTAACACACATATATAGAAAGTTATATAAAGTTTTGCAATGTATTAAGAGAATTTTGTGAGGGATTTTAAAAATTAAAATGTAGATTATAAATGAAGCACACACTTACTTTGAAAGGCTATTTACAGAAAAATAATTTTTGAATTCCTTTGTTTCTTGATAAGGTTTTTTTTTAATATGAGAAAAGTTTGAGGGACTATTTGAGGCTTTAAAAGATCTGATCCTTATCTTCCCAAAGTTAAACACTTTCTAGCTACTGAAAAGGGGAGAGAAAAAGACACATCAAAATATGACCTCTGGTGTTTCTTGTTAGATGGGCTTATGGTTAAATTTATATTGACTTTGAAATATTTTTGTTATATGTGGTAAACTGGCTTTAGCTACTTCTAACTAGTTTTTACACAAGGTGATTCTAAGTACAGCCTGGGCACATTCATTTAAATACCTGGTGCATTAGATAATCTTCATTTTTGACCCTAGATTTCTTATGTACTTGACACACTGTTGTCCAGATACCACTGAGAAGACACAGGAAAAGCAGGTCCAAATTCAGCCTTGGACTTTTTCAAAAAGGCCATAGATGGAAAGTGTGAGCTTGTGCTTTGACAGGAGATAATGCTCTTAATGGAGCACTCACATATTTGCTCTTCCTTTGAAAGGATGGCATTTTAGTGTTGCTTTGCCACCAGATGTTCATCTGGTTGCTGCGAAGTGATTCTTTTTTTACTTTGTTTAAAAAAAAATTCAATTATACGGAGTTTTTTGTAAGGCAAGATTAAAAGGGAACTAAGGTTTACTTGGTAGGAAAATTTATTTAAAAAAAATTTCAGACTTGTCAAAATTTTGGTTTACAGCATTTTATTAGCTGCCCTAAATCTGTGATGCTAGGCTCTAACTGCTAAAAATCCTACATAGTTACTGACGAATGTGTGATCTTTTCACAGTCACACCACCTGCTGCCCGGAAAACAGACTATCTGTATAGAATGGTGAAGGCAGAACATCACCAACTGTATTTCCACTGTTCTCACTTCCTCTTGTCCCTTTCATAGCTGGCCTGCTCAGCCTTAACATTTCAAAGGCTTACAGGATAATAGGAACTGAAGATCTGTATCAAAATGTAACACTTCTTTCATCCTTCAGAATAATTGAAGTTTTAGCGTAACCTCTACATGTACATAAACCGCGAGGTGAAAAATGTGGAATGAAACTTCACAAATGCGGTTCAGGCCTAAGTGGATGCTGCCTATCATTTAAGTGACAGTAAATATTTTTCAGTATCTTTCTACTTCACCCTCTGTGATCATATGTCTTAAAATGGAGCTATGAAATTTGCTAACCTGATATTCAGGATTCTTGTCAGACGAGGATATGTAATAGTTTAAGCTTGTCTGAAATTTTACGTAGATCCTTACAATCCACGCAGCCTTTCTGTACCTGTTATAAACAATGTATGTTGAACTCCAGCAGAGGGCTGGGCAGGCAACCTTTGGCCAGTCTCAACTTTAATCTTTGGTGCAGCACCCAGCTTAATTAGTGAGAAGTGGAATTTTTTATTCGGCTTCTTTGGTGCTGTTCATTTTAAAAATTTTATACTGGATTCACTGATGTCATTCTTAACCTTTTGATATTATGAAAGAGTGTTATAGATTGGAGAAAAACTGTCTACATTTTAAGTATTTGAATAGTGTCCAGGGTCTTGCAGAAAATTCTGAATTTATTATACATGTGTTTTCTTTAGCAGCAGTTATAATAGATAGAGAAATATTTCATGCAGTTATAATAGTGCAAAAAATGTGAATTACTTGGAAAATATGGTCTGTTCAGGTAAGTTTACATCAATAATCTGACACGTGGTTAACAGTAAATTTTAAAGTCCAGGATACCCTGTTGGGCATAGGTCCTCTTATGATACAGTAGAAAGGGGGTCCATTTTAAGTGGATTACCTTATCTGTGTTCTTCAAAATACCTAATTGTTATCATACCAAAATCTTTAATTACATAGATTGTGTAGATGAAATGTTGCATCTTCAATGAATAAAATATATATTTTTAGCACACTTTAACATTTTTTTAAATGATCAATACACAAAAGAGCCCTGACTAGTGGAGGATCAACTCTGGTTAATAGAAAAGAATGATGAACTCCTTTGTTATCTTGTTATCTGGCCCTCCTTTTCTGGAAAAGTGAAGTCTGCATTAAACATCTTTTGGTCAATGTACTGAATACTCACTAAAACCTTTCATATTCTGGCTTGCCTGCATGGGTTAATGTACATCGCACTTTTCTTCCATTTTTAGCATTAGGAATTAAAATGTTCACAGTCTAAGAAAAAAAGGCTTCAATACCAGTTGGCTAATGAGGCTTTGCATATAGTTTTCCCTAAAATATGTATCTACTTTGTAATCTCTTTCAAAGCCAGTTTTAGAAATTATTATAGTAAAATTAAGTTTATGTTTCCTGAATTGAAAAATCAAACATGCCTATCTTTACCATAAAAAGCTTCAACACAATACATTGCTTCAGCAGAAAGCAAAACATTTTTATTCAGATGATTTATGAACATGAATTCCCAACTGGGCCAACACTAATGCAACCTGATGTAATTAAATATTGAGATTAAATTCATTTCATAGGCTTGTAATCTTATTTAAAAATAAGGAATCTTATTTTTGGCCATTTTATTATGCGTTTATTATCTTTGGATTTTCCACCAACTCTTTCTTATTCCTCATGAGGCTCTTCTACATTTCTCCAGGAATCAAGTGACTATTTTGCCTTCTCTTAAACTGAGCGGATTTTTATGAAGCCTGTATTCTTGAAAATAGCTAAATGTCTGTCTAAAAATTATTCAAGTCTCACTGTCCCTACCCAGGAAGTACCTCTCTGTGCTATTAGCTGATAGATCCAAAAGTGATGCAGGTGTGTCTAGGAACAGGATTGACCATAGCTGACTGACTGTTATGCTTGGTCAGGAAAAGGGATTGCTTCACGGTCTAGGTTGTTCTCTTTAAAGCATGACTACATGGTCCCTTGTACATCAGAGACAGAAAAGTACTGGCAGCCCAATGTGGTGGCTGGGCAGAAGGTGGAGCATTTGGAGGTCATTTTTATAAGTAATTAAGAGACTTGGCAAGAGTTGGCCAGGTTTGTTTGTTTCTTCATTCACCTTGCAGCGAAGTGTGGATTATGCTTGCTGCCTGTGATAAAAAATTTCAGATTTTGTTTCTCATAGCAATTTTGAGACTATAATATTCCAAGATTCTTCCTTTCTTTCTTTCTTTCTTTCTTCCTTTTTCCCTTTCTTTCTTTCATATTTATTGTATAAGGAAAAAATTTTCTAAAACTCTTTGAATCTGCATACTGAAAAATTTTGGCAACATTCATTTGGAGTGTGGACATTTTCTATAATTCATACTGTATCCAGTTTGGTTTTTGTCACAGATACGGAACCATGTGAATGCCTAGAAGTGTCCATAGTGATGGCTTTATTGTTTCAACCAGATTCATCCTGTTAAGAAAAATAAAAAGACATTATACTTAAAGCCAGCCAGAATGGTGGATTAAGGACCTCCAAAAATTCTCCCCTCCATAAAAACAAGGAGAAAATTCACAGAAATTGTCAGAATTAACTTTTTTCAGAATTCTGGAAATTAACCTTGCAGTATTCCAAGGAATATTTATTTGAGAGAAATAGCTGAATCTCAGAACAGTAAGCCTTGTGGCATTTTAACTTGCTCTATTTCTATTTCCCCTGCCCATTTCCAGCTCTGCTGTATCCTTGAAAACCAACAGTCCACAATCAAGATAGAAGCAGCAGCATAGAAGCCACTGGAGGGAGCAGAATGGGGTCGGACCCCTTCAAAGTCTCATTCCCAGACAATTACCTGGTGATTCCCTGGAAGACCTCACTTACAAGGCCTCACTGTCTTTATTTTTTCCTGATCAGAGCTTGCCAGGTATGACAAGCCTTTTCCACAGGAACATCTACTGAAAAAAATTAAAGGCAGTTGCTGCCTGAAGCAGTAGATAACCATTGGAGCAAACAATAGAGGAAAACTTAAACTAAAGAGGAAAAGTTGAGGAACGAGATATTCATAGGGGCTTTGAAAAGCTGTAACATTTCCTGGGAAGTTAGATGGTCATGTGCATGCATAGGACTTTTCACAGGCCAAGGGTTGCTACTCCAGCTCAGGAAGAACCTGAGGACATCCTAAGTTCTCACTTTAGGTTAACCTTGATGATCTGCACAAGCAGAAAGTGAAGGTTAAGACAGAACTGTCAACTTTCCGACTGAGTGTTGAAGGGTATCCCAACATTCACACAAAGTGCACAACAAAGACTGGGAGAATTTTTGGTTTCAGGTGTTTAAGGAAATCTGTCCAGTGTAGCTCACCATGAAACTACCTAATCAAGACTTCAGAATCTATACACTACAAAGAATACAGACTTTACAGAATTAGTTCAGATGAGTCACTAAACAAACAAAAACCAGTCACAACATCAAACCTTTGGCAAAGGGGTAAATAAATCTAATTTCCAAAGTTACCCATTATTTAAAATGTCCAGTTTTCCTCAAAAAATTATGAGACATGCAAAGAAACAAGTATGTCCCATACGCATTGCAAAAAGTCACTAAACTGTACTTGCGGGAGTCCAGACATTGGACTCTGCAGGCAAAGACCTGAAATCAGCGATTTTAAATAATATTCAAAGAAATAAAGTATGAAAATTATGTCTCACCAAGTAGATATAAATTATAAAAATAACCAAATATAAATTCTAGAGTTTAAATAAAATAACTGAAATTTAAAATTTCCCAGAAGTGCTCAACATCATACTTGAGCAGACAGAAGAAAGAATCAGCAAACTTCACTGTAGGTCAATTGAGATGATCCAGTCTGAGGAACAGAAAGAAAAGAGAGTGAAGAAAAGTTAATAGAGCCCCAGAGACCTATGGGACACCAACAGATGTACCAACATATGCATAATGGGAGTCACATAAGGGAACAAGAGAAAAAGAGTATTTGAAAAAAATTAATGACCAAAGACTATAAAATTTGATGAAAAATATTAATTTATATACCCTAGAAGTTCAATGAAACCCAAGTAGGATAAACTCTTAAGAGATCCATTCCTGGACATATAATCATACTGTCAAAAAAGTAAAGAAAAGGAGAAAATCTTGAAAGCAGCAAGAGAGAAGTGACTGGTGCAAGGGATGCTCATTAGAAACCATGGAGGCCAGAAGGCAGTGAGATGACATATTCAAAGTGCTAAAGTACATGACTATCAAACAAGAATTCTATATCTAGCAAAATAATTCTTCAAAAATGAAGGAGAAAGTAAGACATTTCCAGATAAAACAGAATTCATTATTAGCAAGCCTGCCCAACATGAAATAATAAACAGTCCCTTTGGTCTGCAGTAAAAGGACAATAGACAGTACCTTGAATTCACATGAAGAAATAAAGAACACTGATAAGAGTAATGACACAGGTAAATATAAAAGAGTACAGACGCATTTTTGTTCATAACTTTTTTACTGCTATCTGATTTAGAGGCAACTGCATTTAAAAAAATTGTAAATCTGTATTAATGGGCACAAAGTGAAAAAACACAAAACTTATACGACAATAACAGTACAAAGGAAGGAGGAAGGAACAAACTATATGGGATCAAAATTTTTGTATACTACTGAAATTAAGTTGGTATTAATCCAAACTAGTCTCATATACATTAAGATATTAATTGTAATCCTCAGTGAAATCACTAAGAAAATAACTAAAGAATATATAGTAAAAGATACAAATAGAGAATTAAAATGGCACACTAGAAAATACTAACACAACACAAGGCATGGAGGTAATGGAGGAATAGAGGAACAAAAATGTATTAGACACTGAAAACAAACAGCAGCAAAATGGCAGACCAAACCCTACCTTACCAGTAACTACATTAAATGTAAATGAATTAAACACTCCAGTTAAAAGGTAGAAATGCCAGAATGGTCATAAGTCATGATCCAACTATATGCTGCCTTATAGGTGACACGCTAGTCAATGACATAAATAGGTTGAAAGTAAAAAGCTGTAAAAAGATATACCATGTGAACTTCACACAAAGAGAGCTGAGGTTGATAAACAAATCTCAAACAAAACAGACTTTAAGGCAAAATTTGTTACTGGAGACAAAGACATCACATAGTGATAAAAGGATCAGTCCATCAAGAAGACATAATTATGCACATATACCTAACAACAGAACTCCAAAAACATGAAGCAAAAACTGATACAACTTAAGGGAGAAATAGAATAGAATATTCAATCATAGCAGTTGGAGACTTCAGTACCTCATTTGCAATCATGGGTAGAACAACTAGAGAGAAGGTCAACAGAAGACTTAGACCTTAAACGGAAATAGAAGAATTGAACAACACTTTAAGCCAAGTAGCCCTAACAGACATGCATGGAACAGTCCACCCAACAATCGTAAATGCATATTCTTTTAAAGTGCACGTAGAAACATTCTCTGGGGTAAATCATATATTAGGTCATTTTTAAAGTCTTAATATTTTCAATAGTATTTAAATTATACAACATATGTTCTCTGACCACAATAGAATGAAATTAGAAATAATAACAGAAGGAAATTTGGGGGAATTCATAAATATATGGAAATTAAACACTATATTTCTAATTAACAGATGGGTGAAAGAAGAAATCACAAGGGAAATTAGAAAATTTCTTGAGATTAATGCAAATGAAGACACTACGTATCAAAACTTATGGATGCAGCTAAAGTAGTACTTAATGGGTAATATACAGTCAAAATGCCTATATTTTAAAAATACAGGTCTTAGACCAATAACCTAGACTTCAACCTCAAGAAACTAGGGGAAAAAACCCACAAACTAAACCTAAAGCAAGCAGAACAAAGGAACAATACAGATTAGAGTCAAAATAAATGAAAAACTATAGGAAAATGAATAAGAAAAATTGAAAGCAAAGGTTGAGTTTTGGGGAAAAAAAATTAACAAAATAGAAATGCCCTTAGCTAGACCAGAAAAAAGAGAGAAGATTCAAATTACTAAAATCAGAAATGAAAGATTACTACCAGCATGATAAAAATAAAAGAATAATAAGGGAATGTGTATGCCAACAAGCTAGAAAACCTAGATAAAATCAACCAATTTATATAGAAAGATACAAACTACCAAGA